AATATGTTTGGGCATTAATGGGAATGAAACAATTATAGGTACAGACACATTTTTTATTCTATACAGCACAAAATATTAAATTATATATTCAAAATGATTAAGGATTACTCATTATTTGGGAAAGGATTTTTATTGGGAGATTTAATAGTGAGTTCAGTGCTTTGCAATTAAGGCACATGAGATTAATTAGGCTGAAGTCTAAACAGTGAAAAGGTTTCTTACAGGCAAAATCATGAACCAACAGGCTCTGATGATATCAGAAATGTGTCTCATTAGGAAAGTTTAATGGGTAAAAAAGTTAGGAGAGGGTTGTGTTTTCTGAGGGCAACTGTCTGAATAATTTATATGGATCATATGCATCATACTATGTTAGTCTGAAATGCAAACATTGTGTCATGAGTGCAGGGAAAAAATCCATTCATATGCATCTCACTTCTGGGTGATAGATGTGAAATTTGGGGTGAACAAGTCATTTAGCTTTTTTTGCTATATTTAAGGTAATCAAACAATTACACCATGGATAGTCCATGTCTTTGGGTTCCAAGGTACAGCGGACATGCTTTTAGAGGAGTTGATGTAGATTGGTATATAATGACTGCGCTGTCATGTCCCCAGAGAAAGTAAATATATAGTTAAGTTTCACACATCAATTTCACGCAGGTTCTTGTTTATATCCACTATACCTTGGAGTGAAACAAATCATAAATCAATGCCAGGATTAAAGAAATGTAGATTAGGCAGTTTGGGTGCAGCCATACATCACAGGTAGGCCTATGACTAGTTAACAGCAGTATGTTAAAATACAATTCTCACATAAAACTTTCACATTTGGGGCAAAACCTTCAATTTTGACAATGAGTCAGCCCGTAACCAACTGTTTCACAAACGCCTGCGCTATAAGTCCTGAAACTCTAAATCCACTGTTAGAGCTCTCTGCTCATATAAACACAAGGAGGGTTTCTTGTTCTTGCCTCATCAGGAGCCTGTAGTCAAGTTATCTATTTTTACACAATAACCTATATAAATCACAGCCAAGCTGAGCCTCATGAGCTCATTACTGGTGCAAATCATCAAAACAGTGTTTGTCATGGGTTCATTGCATTACAAGTTAGCCACGGTCAATGTACTATTCAAACAGGGATTGACTTGAACATACAATAAAGTTAGATGTACTTATATTCCGTCTTGTCCGGCAGTCTGACACTTTCATGAGATTCAATTTGAAATTCCTAACTCCTACTTCATTTTATCATCAACAAGGACATGGAGTCCCAAGACAAAGGGATTGTGCCTCTAAGAGTCTCTCTGATGAATCCCAGTTGGGGTGGCATCACTGGGGAACAATGGCCTTGCCTGTAAACAAACAACCCTCCATTGAACTGTTTGCCTAATTAATCTCTTCCCTCATTCCTTGAAATGGAAGGGAAAGTGGTCATGCAAATATTTTAAAGACACATTACATTTTAAGGAAACCTGACACTTTAATTCAAAACAGACCTACAAACAACCACCAATAATCAAAAAGACACCCTTCCATTAAGCCCCCATAATATGTCCATATAATGTTACAGCCCTCTGTAAATAATAAAAAATAATGTAAACGATATCTCATGTTAAGTAAACTGCTATAAAAACTGAAGTTCAGCACAGTGCCTTCACTATGTATAGTTGTTTAATGATTCATACTAACTCATGAAAATGAGTATTGTGTTTTTTTGGACTTTGCTCTGATAGTAAATCTTTGCAGTTTGTATACTGCACTGCACAATAAAGATATCTCTTATCGGCTCTGTTCTCATGGATCATGCTGGGCTCTTGTCCGGACCTTATCACTAACTTTTCCTATTTTCAAAGTCTCCTTAATGCTTTAGCACTGACTCACCCCTGTTTTTCATGATTGTATGTCGACATTTTTATTGTAATACCCTTGTGATGATCTTGGACATTTTTTTTTAAAGAATGTATTACACTGTTGGACTTTCAAACTACTTAAATAATATGGAGACACCATATTTTTTAAGTTTCAGTTGTATACTGCCAGTCGGTGCCAATATTGACCTTATTGAGCAGATTAGGTATCAACCAGTTGTATCTAGTCCACAATAAATACAGTTTTTTTTGTTTAAATAATTCTGTGTTTCTACTATCGGGCCACTGAATGACTTTGTTTATAGTAAACTCTGCCTCATATTACGCCACATAAAAACAACCCCAATGAGTTCCACTCATTTCTGATTTGTGGAAAAAGAGAACAGGGTAGATTAATGCTGGTGCCTCCTATAATGTTACACCTCGCTTTAAATACCCAACATTGGATGGTAAATGTATTGATTGATTGTGGTTACCCAGGACATCGCAGTAAGTTATTTAGAAGCATTTTGAATTCCCTGCTTCCGTACACAAGTAACTTCTAGATGTCTTGTGAGCATTCAGCCTATTTCCCAATGAATTATGTTCCTTTTGGAGATTGCACAGTAAATTGTTTTGGTCCAAGGCCAACGCAGCAAATAACTGTGAACACAATCTAAAGTTTAATGAAACTTTTATCACACGTCCAATACTCAGAAAGGCAACTGCAGAAAAGGCATCAACAGCGTATAGGGGCTAAGCTCGCAGGCCTATCAGAGGAGAGGTGACTATTAGACAATTAGTGGGTTTATACTTGAGCTTTTGAAGAACACCACAAACTCATTAATATCGCTGTATACCCATTCCCATTACACTCGAGTTTTAATTGCAAGAGTGCAAAACCTTCTAATAGATGCATATGAGATTAATTAGGCTTAAGTCTGAACAGTAAAAGGTTTGTTTGTTTCAGGCAGAGTCATTAACCAGCATCATTTGGTAATGACATCACAAATAGAGCTCATTAGCAGGGTTCCCAGGAGTCAAAGAGGCAGGAGAGAAGCCTTTAGTCTGGGGTCACCGTGCCCTGTTTGATGATAAAAGCACCCTCAGGAAATACTGTTGATTGTCAATGTCGTTGCACTTTGTTGTTAAATATCTTCATACACACCAAGTTTATACAAAGTGGGAACGCTTTTTTGAAAAAGATTAATGGAATTGTGTCTTAAGTTTTTGATTACTAAACAGTGAATATTGTATTATAGCTAGTATTGTATTTTTATTAGTCATGGTTGAATATAAGAAACCAAAGATGGCAATGACACAGTGTGAGTTTAGTGGGAGACACAAACAAAGTGAGTTTATGGTTGTTACAGTAAAATCACAGCTCTGATCATTCGTTGATAGGTGCACAATGTATTGTCTGCCTACATTTAACTAAGCCTCTACGAAATCAAATGATATGTTTCTGTGTTTGTTTGAATAAAGTTAGCTTGTTATTTCAGACGAGGTACTCTTGGGGGGAAAGCACTGTGCACAGGGGTCCCAATTTCCTATCCATTTACCTCAGAATGTGAGACTGCAAGACCTGCTAATAGATGCAGGTGAGATTAATTAGGCAAAGCTTGAACAGTAAAAGGTTTGTTTGTTACATGAAGGGTCATTAACCGGCTTTCTCGAGTGATGAAATCTCAAGCTGGGTTCATTAGAAAGACTCTGAGGTGTCATATGCAGCAGAAAGTCATTTTGTCTGGAGTCATTATGGACTGTTGGATGATGAATGCTCCCTTTAGACTTCTTTTGTTTTTCACCCACTTGGAGTTCTACACAAAGATTTTTTTGCTACGCTATCACATAGTGGACCTGAACTTTTATTAACATTAAATGAAATATTTTACCATCAAATTTGGTGCAATAATACTGGTGTGTAATGGCAAGTGGGTAGGTTTAAGTGTGTTTGAGAGTCCCATAGCTAAGGCAGGAGTCCAAGTTGTTGGTTAAGACGATAAGGTCTAGACCAGCCCCGTTTCTGGTTTACATTGGGACAATTGTGAGACCTGACTGGTCAATAGGCTTCTGACCAGATCTAACAAATCAGTCAGTCTCTATGTTGTCAAGAACAGAGATAGACACAAGATGTCATGAGCAGAGCTTAGGGGCGTAAGACGGTTTTGTGGTTTAGAAGTATTTATGTGGCAACAAGAGATACAAAATGTGTACATATCCTCCCAAAATCAGGATGACAGTTATATTACGTGTAATACAACTCCAACATTTTATTATCTACCGTTGACTCTGCTGTCTCACTGAAACTGGCCTCCAAGCTCAGACAGCAAAATCAAGTTTCAATCCGTTGCACTAAAAGCATGTCTGCACCACACCAACAATTTCATCATTCTTACATTTGTTCATCAATTCCTCAAAAGCAACAATCAAATGAAAACAGAGGGGTCACACCCAACCCCAAAATGATTGACAGGTATCTTAATACATACACGTCATTAATGTTGTCAGATGTAAATAAAGGTGATTGCCAGTTGAGTTCCAGTGTTATTAAGTGATATTATAACCTGCATGTTTTCCTGCTCTTGAGATAAAGATGAATGTGGTGCTCAGAATCACAAAACAACAACATGTTTGTTTTGCCTGCAAGATAAATTAGAAGACAAAACACTCCATTACATTAACCTTCAATTTCAATCAAAGGGCACTGCTCATTATTGTATTGTTGATCCATGTTATTCTTAATTAGAAGACTGCACACTATCTCTGGAGATTGATTGATGAAGAGGGTATAATTTCCACTGTGCACAGGTCAGACATGCAGACATTCAATGGCTGCTATTGGAGTCAGCATTGCATGCAGCCACTTTGTGTAAAACGATCATCAACCGAACAGGTGAGCCACAAGTACACTGCTTTCTGTTGTGTGTTAATCGAATCACTCAGGTGGAAAAATGATTGTTTCAATGACAAATGCACAAGTGTGTATGTGTCCTTCTGAAGCTTCCAATTACTTAGTTTTCATTGATTCATAAATAAGATAACTTGTGCATTTATGCTGACAAAAAATGAAGGAAAGATAAGAAATAAGATGTGTTCTTTCCCCTCTTTTTCAGACCAGACAGCTTTTACGCACCCTGGACCAGAGGACTATGTCTTCTCTCGGGACTGTTGTAAATGACTCTGTCATCATTCATCCACCAGGATTTTATATCATTGCATTTGAGATATTTCCCTTCATCAGTGTTTACATTATCTTTCTGGCATTTGTTTATGTGGTTACGCTGGTGTTCAATATTGTACTGATCGCCATAATTGCTCGTGACCACTGCTTACACACTCCAAAATTTCTGGCTGTCGTCAACCTCGCGGTAATTGACGTAACCTTAAACACATGCATTATTCCCAGCATGATTAAGACATTCCTCTTTAAGGACAACTTTGTTCCATTTGACCTCTGTCTGTTACAAATGTATGTCTACTATGCTGTTATATCTTTGGAGTCATTTGCGCTCGCTATACTTGCCTACGACAGGTTCATTGCAATATGTTTCCCTCTGCGTCAGAACTTATTCAACACACTGCCGATCATGTTGTGTATTGTAGGCGCGACTTGGGTTTACAATCTGAGTAGAGTAGCATACAGCACGGCGATCATGACTCGACTGTCATTTTGCAATTCTGTCAGAGTGTTCAGCTATTTCTGTGACTATGCGCCTGTGTTCAGACTCGCCTGCAATGATTACACATTGCATTGGTCTATAGCTTCAACTTCTAGTATGGTGAATCTGATGTTCCCTTTTACTTGTGTTATTCTGTCTTATCTTAGCATATTGGTCACTGTGTTCAGAATGAAATCACTAGGCAATAGGATGAAAGCTCTGGCCACTTGCATTGAGCACCTAATCCTTGTTGCTGTATTTTACATTCCTATATTCAGCATATTCTTAATAGGGCTTTATGTGCGATCCATTGACCCGGACCAGCGTGTCCTGAGCCTGTCACTTGCCACTTGCATCCCACCCTGCATCAATCCGATTGTTTATTCTTTGAAGACCAAAGAGATTAGAACCAGAGCCCTGGCACTGGTTCGTAGAATTAAAACAAGCCCTTGACAACTTTATTTTAACACTCAACAGTCAAGTTTCATTTGATTCCTCAGCATTTAAATACAACCAGGTTTCCACACAGAGGAAGAACTTTTACTGTTTCATGATGTCTTGAATGCCAACAGCAGAGATATTAAACAGTACTGAGTATTCTAAAAAAACAACATTAATTTAGAGTGAGTATGGCCAGCTCCACACCACAGTATATAGGAAGGCAACAGCCGGAATTACTGTGCTGAATGCAGAGTTTTCATCCTAATTGGCTTAAGGACAACATCATTTTTGGCCAATTTCATTACATTGTCAATGCATTTGTGACATGCTATAAAACAAAAACTGGATACATCTCTCCAGCAAGTCCCTTAAAAAGGATAATACACTCAAACCGCGATCTCATTAAATGTGACATATTCTTAGGGTTTCTTTTTTCCTGCCCCTCTTAAGATCAGTTTGAATAGGTTAGTGTCTAGCCATCTCCTGTCCATATTACATAAAGGCATGTAGGCTACTCAAGACTCATAAGGTGTAGAACATTAAAACATTCATTAACTGCAATGCATTTGTTGTGATCAACTGAAATTATTATTAAAGAGAGAAACCTTTTATGTACACAAGACGCAGCCCACAGCTTATCCAGGACTAAATGAAGTAATTGATTTCAGTCTTTTTTTGTAATTCCTCTGATGCATGGAGTCTGTTAATATATATTTTGATATGTAATATTTTGTCTGTGTTGTTGTCTGTATATTCATGTTTTATTATAGTGCCCTCATTATATTTTTCTTACTTCTAAACATCTACAAATTGTTTGCAATCATCTTGTATTTACTAGAGGGGAAACTGCGTGCTGAGGAGTACACTCTGAAGAAGGCTGTTTGTGCAAAGTGGCAGCGAGCAAGGCTCCAAACCTTGAATAGTATCCTGTGCATGGTGGTGGCAGAAGAAACACAGCAAAGGCACTCACTGATAAAACTTCATTTTTTGGTTATTGTAGGCAAAAACTAAACGTGTTTCAGCTCCAAGCCATTACTGCGAACGTGATTACACGTTCCTTTTTTGCCCAAAATGAATAAAAAAAGACCCTTTATCTGTGGCTCTGTTTCTTCCTGTAACCCAGCTCTAACTTAACATGAACCAGCATTGTCTATGTTTTTAGGATCTATTAGGATGTTTTACTTTTTGCCAGAAGAGTGACTTGGTTTGTTTTCCCTTCTAAAGAGCCCCTTCATTAGTGTTCTTTGAACTTCTGAGCACTCCGGACCTTTTCTTTCTTTGTTCACGTTTCCACACATATCCAGTGTCATGTTATTTTGCAATTAAATAAAAACATATTACACAACACCATGTTTTTCAGAATATTTATTTTATTTATTCTATTCTGCCATTATGTAAACACTCACCAGATTCAAGTGAATTAAATACATTTCAAAGCACATATTACTGACTTATTTAGACATAAAATATACTTGGCTGTATTTGATAGTAATTATATGATACACTTGACTGCTCTGGCTCTTATGTGCTGAAACACTCCTATCTTTTTAACACTTTAACTTTGTTTTACTATATCTTACATTCACATCCACATTGTCAGATGAAAAAGAAGGTTTCATTGTTTACCTGAGGTACTTGCAGAGCTTTTAAGTCAGTGTGCATAATTAGAACTGAGTTTAACTAAACTAGCTCCCAGGGTTCATTGCACCACAAAAAGGGCACAAATATTTTGTCCTTCCGTTTATTTCTGTTTTTTAAAAATGTATTAAGACGTGCAGGAGAGAAAAGGCTCAGATATGTATGCTTTCATTACGTTATCTATGTCTTGGATGAATATTTTAGCTTTTTTATGTTAAAACTGGATCATGCCTCTATAGACATGGGATGGATGGATATTAACTGGTTAAACAGGAACATTTTGTGCTGCAGTTCAGTGTAGTGCTCTGAGAATATGGTCAGAGGGATCATTTAAATGCTTCACTGTGCCCTATTTTGAATGGCCCTTAACATGAAATAACCCAGTGACTCAAGAAAACAATCATCTAAAACAATGTGCAAAACCAAAACGTCAAATACCATGAACAACATACCGTTTGCAAGCGGTTCAGTGACCTGAAAGTACCCACTTCATCAACAGTGTTTACTCTACATCTGTTAATGATTCAAGTGAGCACTGTTAGACTGAATCATTTATTTACAATCACAACATTTACTGAAATGACACGTGTAATATAAACCTGGCTTTAGCGTTATAACAATGAATGTACAGAAAGCACTGGTAAATTGAGTTTAAAGTCTGAATGGAAGTTAGTGTTTGCAAGTCCTTTAAGAAAGCCTACAACTTATAAAATAAAGCAGAACTATTAGTTTAAAGCTTAAACATGTTATTTGATGAAGGTAGTCACAGGACACTTGGTAGAGCGCCAAGGAAACGACTTCTGGCATTTCTCTTGCGGCCCTTTGAAAGCAGGTGTAAGTTGAATTAAGTGACAGCTTCACACCTCTTTCCCTTCAATTTTAATTGTCTTTATTCCTAATAGGTGCAACTGAGATTAATTACTCTAAAGTGTGTACAGTAAAAGGTTTGTTTGTTGAAGTTAAGGTCATTAACCAAAATTCTCTGGTGATGGCAACACAAACTGGGCTCATTAGAGTTGTTTTGTTTTGGCTCACCACAGCCTTTTTAATTTTAAATGTATCCTCCGGGAACATTGCGCAATAGAAGAGTCATTAAATGTATTTGTTACTGTTTACTCACTTTGTACAAACACAGTTCACACAATGTTCTAAATGTTTTAACACCTCATACAAAGTTATTTTGTGTTCATCTTTATCAGAATAGAAATAATGTGCAATAACTACTTCTGTACAAATCTCCTCCTGCCTCCTCTACATTTCCTGAAAATAAACATAGCTTGTCAGATGAACCAGTGATTACACTGTGGATGGTCCTCAACTCACAGTTATTAAACTCTGTCTGTTCACAAGAGGTTGTGGAGGTCATTGTGGGTAAAGGAGAATAGTATCTACAATTATCTACGATTAACAAGTTATCAGAAAAACAAAAACGAAAAATAAAAATCCGCCTTTTCCGCTCCGTGACACTGAGACAACAACTAAAAGTTAGATAATTCAATGATAACGTTTAGTGGAATTGTACAGTGACAATATTATGATAACATTTTATAAAATTAAGTACAAATTTATGAATTTGTACTAATTCTGATGAGAAATCATCAAAATACGGAACAAATTAGATTTTTAGGAGTTTTGTCTGAAATAATGCATAATAACAGTGTAACTGTAAGGTCATTTTATATGATTTTCGATACACTTTCCATATCATGGTATATATTGATACTTACATACGCAACAAAACTCTAGCAGTGAGTATATTGTCATTCTTTCACACTTATCTTAAAATTTAAACCTTTTCCTCCATCAAAGATTATTCAGACTGAGTATTTTAAACGTTTGAACAGTCAAAGCAACATATGTCCTTAACACATTTTCTTTTCTTCTCTAATTCATTTTACTAAGCTTCCATGAATCTTTAAATTATCAATCAAATAAACACGAACCCTTTGTTTTAAGTAGAAGTTTAATCAGAAAGAAATAACCTATAGCCCGACTCTCCAGGGGTTAAATTAACTTCACTGATAGGGTACTGGACAATGACTCCGTCTCAGTTGATCCATCAGGAGAGTATATGTCTCATCGTCCACCAGTCCGACATGCATGCTGCTTTCAGAGTCAGCATCACCAGCTAGTGCTGAACCATTCTTCACAGATAATCAGGTTGGATTATTTTATTGACTTGTAGCACATTAATAAGTGATTTAACTTACTGAGAATGCATTGTACAAATACTGCTTTGTTTAAGTGTGTTTTAAATGAATGGCATGACAATTGTGCACTTTATCTATTAGCCTTCATAGAAATCCATTCTCTAATGTACAATATGATATGAGTGCCCTGATTTTCAGACTGGAGAAGTTTTAAACCCTGTGGACCAGAGGCCGTCATCCAACACAGGCTGTGGAGTTCAACTATGTCTTCTCTCAGGACCGTTTTAAATGACTCTCTGATCATTCATCCTCCAGGCTTCTATGTCATCGGATTCGAGACATTTCCCTTCATCGGTGTCTACTTCATCTTTCTGTCCTTTGTTTATGTGGTTACAGTGCTGTTCAATAGTTTGGTGATCTATGTCATTTCTTTTAATGACTGCTTACATACTCCAAAATTACTGGCTGTGACCAACCTCGCAGTAATTGATATAGTCCTTAACACATGCAATATTCCCAGCATGGTAAAGATATTCCTTGTTAAGGACAACTTTATTCCATTCAACCTCTGTTTGTTGCAGATGTTCGTCTGCTATTCTTTTGTATCCCTGGAGTCATTTGCCCTCGCTATCCTTGCCTACGACCGGTTGATTGCAATATGTTTCCCTCTGCGTCACAACTCAGTCAACACTTTGCGGAGCATGTCTTGTATTATCGGCCTGACTTGGTCTTTTGCTCTGGGAGTAACAGCATTTTCAACAGGTATAATGACTCAACTCTCATTTTGCAATTCTGTCAGAGTGTTCAGCTATTTCTGTGACTATGCACCTGTGTTCAGACTAGCCTGTAATGATTACACATTGCAGTGGTCTGCAGCTTCTTTTCTCACGATTATGATCCTCGTAGGACCCTTTATTTTTATTCTTCTGTCTTATGTGGCTATCCTGGTGACCGTGTTCAGAATGAAATCTTTAGACAGTCGGGTGAAAGCTCTGGCTACTTGCATTGAGCATATCATCCTTGTTGCTGTATTTTACATTCCTCTCATTACCATTTTTACTATTGGGTTTTATCTGCGTCTGATTGACCCGGACCAGCGTGTGCTGAGCCTGTCGCTGGCCTCTTGCATCCCACCCTGCGTGAATCCTATCGTCTACTCTTTGAAAACCAAAGAGATCAAAATCAGAGCCCTGGCTCTGGTGAGAAAAAAAATCTAATTTAACCAGACCAACGTAAGAGCAAATCTTGGCGAGATGTTAAAATGTTGGCGTAGAATCTGTCCTCTGCCTTTGTTTGGTTTTAGTTAGTTCCAATATTTCTGAATAAAATGGCCTCACTGTAAAAAAGGCTTTCAGTTGGCTAAACCTAAAATATAGATTACTACATCACAGCTTTTTTTGCCACGGGAAGATGTCATGCATAAAATGTCTGCACTTTTAAGGTCTGTGTGCTGTATTTTTTCATAGTTGCAGCAAATCAGTTTCAGCTCTACTCTTTGAGAAACAAATTAAACAAGATGTTAGCTTTTGTTGGGGGAAAAAAGTAAGATGATCTCTGATTTGAAGGGAGTCGGAGTTAGTAAAACTAAAACTACTGGCTGTTGTGTAATGTACACCTCCATCTATTACCAACCAAGATAATAAAGGATCCAGTTTAAACAATAAAAGTCAATTTTATTTCTCCAGTCCAAATCACAAATTTGCCTCAAGGGGCTTTACAATCCGTACAGCATATGACACCCTCTGTGCTTTGACCCTTGTTTGGGGAAAGGAAAAACCTCTCCAAAAAAACATTTTACCAGGGAAAAAACAAAATGTGGTATTTTATTTTATTTCAGATGGTTGTTTAAGTCAAAGTCACTCTCTGGTGATACCATCACAAATTGGACC